TGACCATTTACTTGACTCCTCATTAAAAAAAAAAAAGAAAAAGCTTTGAAGACAAGAAGCGCAATGGTGTTTCAAGTCCACACAGCAATTACTCTGCCAACTCACATTTGCACTAATAAGCTTATGGAAATTAAGGTTCTCCTAGTTCAAACAACTCTGTTTGTTAGCACAGGCTAACAGAGTACATCTCTGGCCCCTATGGCTTGGTCAGGGAAAACAGAGAAATAAGCCATAACTAAAACAACAACAAACTTGTTTTGCAGGGCAAGTTTCAGATCATGTAGTACTGTTATTCATACACACCCCCTCAATTTGATTTTACTCCTGTGACCTGGAAGAGCCTACTAGAAATCTTTGTGTTTTGCCCGTATCAGTGCCATATAATAGCACTGACTGGGGAAAAGTTGAGACAAAAACTCTTATCACACGCTTTCATAAAGAGCAGTACAGTATTCAGTTAGCACTTCCAGGAGCCAGGCAAGGCATGCCAGCTGCCAGCCAATGAGTCAAGTTAAGCACTTTAACGTGTGACATCTCACTTGTAATGGCATGCTAAACAGGAAAAAAAGATGCACATAGCTAATGTTTATTTCCATTTCAGGAGCGTATGGATTGATTCCCCACAGAACTGCCCAGCACTCACTGAATCTACTCACATTGAAGAGTGAATCAGGATAGAGCATTCACACCCTGTCCTGCAAATAGTCCGTGCTCAGGATAGCATGTTATCCCCATCATATTTCAGCTGCTCTTTTTGTATCTAGGAATGTATCTATCCTGTATTCAAAGCCCTGGAAAATTATGCCATTTTTGTTTCAAGTTGTCCTTAATCTTCCTCTTCCCCCTGCTGGTCAAAATCAATTTCTCAAGAGGTCTGGACACTAGGTGGTTGAATTAACGCAGTAGGAGTGGGACTTTCTTCCAAAAATAAATCTGCATGTAACATTTTTCACTACACAACAGTGTGATTTTCTTTTTAATTTTCTCAACAATCTACATGACAGCAGCGCAACAGGGTGACATTTTCATTTACTTGGTATGCTTTTATCTCATTTTTACAAGTGTTTTCAGTGGCCACCATGCACCAGGCTGCTAGTCCACAAAAGCAATGACATGTCACAACCCATTTTTAACTTTTTTTAAAAGCAGACATATTGATGCGAATCACAAATGAGGTTGTCTAAACCAGTGGCCTACTATCAGCAACAGGCATGTCACTATTTCAGTTAGGAAGCTCAGTTGTAAAGCTTCTCATACTCAGTGCTGCTGCTAAACAGGAGGAGGAACAACTGAGCAGACTTCATTGTTAAGTTTGTTGTCAGGCAAATGCTCCTGAGGTACACGTCTTAAGTTCATTAAAATGCTCCACGGACTGATGTGGAATGAAAATGAACTTCCCCACACCAAGAATTCTAGAGGAGAACGGAAGACAATAATTTTGGTTAAATTCTTCATCCTGAACTCACTTGCAGAAACTTCTTAAGGAACTTGCTTTTTAACTTTTTTTTTTGTTACAACAGCACACTATGAATGAAGAACACATGGGCAGTTAAATGCTAACACCACTGTGAATTCCATCTTCTACTCCTTGCCACTTTCTCAGCTCCCTAGGGTAGGTAGCAGTGAGCTTTCCTCCCCGGGACCCACCTTTCTATCTAATAACAACAAAGTTGTTTACTTAGATGTAACATTCTAACATGTGAACATGTCTGGATGTGCATAATTGCACAGCCAGTCTTACCTGCTCTACAGTGTTAATTAGCATCATACAAGTAGGTGGTGTATTTGTATTAGAATGTAGTTCATGTTTGTATTCCAAGGAAGAACCTAAGCAAGGCATATCCCATAGCTGGATAAAGTTGGGGAGTGAGAGTCTAATTTCAACTGAAGCAATTTCTGTCCCATAGAAATGAGCAGTCTCTGAAGACAAGAAGCAGTATTTCTTCTAAACCCTCTCACCTACATTACATTGACCATCCATGAAGAGTAGTAGCTCGGTCTTGGTTGTGGCTTCACCTCTGATACTGCTTCCACTCCTGGACTGCACAGGAGCCAACTAATCCAGTTCAAGGATATCCTCTGGTCACAAAAGCTGGTTTGCATTCTGGATCCATCATTTTTCTTCCCCCAACAGCTGGTTTCGGCCCTTCTTTCCCAGGGCTGACTTCTGAAGCCAGATCTCACAGACTTTTTTTTTTCCCAGCATAGCAATTGGTGCTTCACTTTTCAACCCCCTACTCGATCCGGGATAGCTCAGGTACCAGGCACGTCAGGATAAACTGCCACTTAAAAACCTCATCCTCACACAGCCCCTTTAAACTGTAATGATGTAATAATTTTGAATATCCTTCAAAAATCATGTTTCTCAATACCCTTTTAGATGGGGTCATCTTAACTACGAAGCAGCATAAGGGTAGCCAGGGCATCTGCTTGCCCTGTGCAATCAAACTCAGCTCTGCAGAAAGAAAGCAGTTTTGAGGAAACAGGAAGCTTAAATGCTAACCAGTTTATATATAACACAGCAAATCACTTCTGGGCTGAGACAGTAAGCACAAAGAAAGGAGGAGGTAGGAGGACTTGAAAAGACAATCCCCAGAGAATCATGGGAATGCAGTGAAGAACTACCACAATTCAAACTCTAATCCCTGCCTCAGCTCCATCCTTGAAGCTATGCAGCCTGAAAGTACATGGTAAAATCCACTTTCTTCAAGTAGTAAAATCGAGGAGCCTGTGTTACAATTTTGACATAGCAGCCGACATGTGAGTTTGGCCTAAAATACAGGAAGATTTTAAGTCTATGATGAGCACATACCCTCTTGGTCCCCATTTGTTCTCTCTTGAGTTTTGATGTACCCTCCTAAATGGCACACAAAAATTAGCTTTCAAGCAACAATAATAAGTAGTCCTTGTCTTGCTGAACAGACAGAATTCCTGCTCTCACATAGCCATGTAAACAGCAGAAGACAGTTCTAAAGCAAGACACATAATATTCTTTTCTTGTTTAAGGAAAAACACATTTCCCAAAACTCTAGCTTATGCAACATCAACCACTTACCCCCACCACAAACACTGTAAGAGTTACAATTTAACTCATAAGTACAGTTGTCATAATTTATTACAACATGATTCAGTTTGTTGTTTTTTTTCATGCAGTGTGTCTGGGTAACCATCCCACATGTCCTCAGTAAGCAAAAGGCCATTGCTTTTCTCCCAAAAGCAATGGGAGAAACATGCTTTTGGATGTCCTATCACAAACAACTAGTACTGGCCAAAATAGTCACATAGACTTACCAGGGTATAGTCTAACAAAATCTAACAAAACAGTCCCACACAGTATCCATGCCCCTTTAATTATTTTTTTAAAAAAATAAAATTCTTATTTGAAAGTATCCATCGATAACTTGGCATGAAGTCCAACATCAAACAAACTTCAAAATTTATGTGTAAGGTCATGTAGCCATTCCATATTGCAAATAAGTTTTCTGCATAAATGAAAACATAAATAGCAGAAACAAGCTAGTGTTACCACGAAGCTTCGATGTTTTGGTGTCCTTGCATGTCTTTAAACTTTTGACATGGTTTTTTTTTGTTTTCTGTAAAGAGAGTACCACCTACCTTTCTAGACCATTGGGAAAAAATCTAATTGCAAGCTGTAAACACCCCACGAAGATTTGAGACCAGTTTTCTAACGGACACAACCGTTATGTTTGGAATATTAAGTTCAGAAGGAAAACAATCATCCTCTATTGTCTCGAAACTGCCTAGCCACCATTTGAAGACCAGCTATTTATCTCACAATTCGCCTCTTCCTGTGTTACCCTCCTCCCTGTATTTCTTTTCTTCTCTTTCAATTTTTGCCTCATACCTCATTCATCCATTTGTGGAGGAGAGAGGAAACTGCATCTATTATATATAGCCAAGAAAAGTGTATGACTTCTCACATCTAATTCTTCTGAAACGTCATTTTAGGATCCTGAATGCCATGCTTTATTGGGGTTTTTTGTGCCCCTCTGAACTGCTCATTACGACAGCCTCTTGTTCATCTAGGCTCGTTCACCTGCAGTTTTGTAATCATCTTTACTCACGGGGCCAGTAAAAGAACATCCCTTACAAATCTCCTTACAAACGGCTCTGAAAAGACAGACGTGCATCCTTTCCACAACTGCAGTTCTGCCCCAAAACCCAACAAAACTTACTTCCAAACATGCGAGCTACCAAGACATTATTACAGGTTTCTGCCTTTTTTTGGGGGGGACGCTGAGGGGAGCGGTAGCTCTCCCTCCAAAGCACCGCGTCTTTCTTCCATTCTCCTACAAGTACCACATGTTTAAATGGACAGAGCCCACTCTGCGATACTGCTTAATAACTTTTCCCTACTGCCAGAGAAAGAGCTCGGGAAGAAAGACAGGAGATCGTCTTGGACTACAAGAAGCGAAGTAAAATTTCCCTATTTTCACACCTCTTCACCTGCCTTCTAACCCTGCGAAACACCCCAGATGCGCGGTATTTCCCCACGGAGGGGGGGGGGGAACCCACAAAACAAGAAAAAACCCCATAAGAGCACACGAAAACACTGAGATCCGTCCGTGTGCTCCGACACCAGCGGAGCGCAACACTCGGTGCGAGGCACAGCAGAGGGGCTGGGCTCCGGCACCGCCGCCTCACACACGGGGCTGCGGCGAGCCGCGGCGGCTGCCAGGCAGGGCAGGCACACGAGGAGCACCGGGGGGAGGCGACCCAGCCCTGGCCACCACCAAACGCCCGTTTTCCGCCGGGAAGGGCGGCCGGGCCGGGGGGCACGGGGGTGTGCTCGGGGGGCACCGCGGCTCCGCCCGCTCCCAGCCGGTAACCGCGCCCGGCCCCCCCGCCCGCCATGTGCCGGCGGGGGCGGAGCCGGCGGCCCCTCCCCACGCCCGGTACCGACCACGGCCCCGGCGGCCCCAAAGTGCTGATTCAGCGCCCGCCGCCCGCGCCCCGCTCCCCGCGCCCGGTGGCGGTACCTGAGGCCGTGTACCAGCTGCCGGCGTGGCTGGCCTCCCGGCAGAGCACCCGGTTGGACATCTTGGAGCCGGAGCCGCCTATGGTGTTCGGGGGGGACGCTGGGGGACGGGCCCGCCCGCGGCGGCGGCGGCGGCGGCG